ATATATATATATATATATATATATATATATATATATGCACATACATACATACATACATACATTATATATATATTATATATATATATTATATATATATATATATATATATATATATATATATATATATAATAGGTGTAGCCACCTTCACTGGTCACGCGCTGCCAGGTCTCCTTACCTCCGAGAGAGCAGCCACCTCAACCTCTCGGCCTCCCCAGTTCCCTAGACAGTAGAGGCACCCGATCATCCTGACGCAAAGACCGGACCCACCCTGACTTCCCACCTGAGGTTTAGCCTCGGGCAGTCACTCCAGGTGGACGTCACCTCTGCCACCCCTGCCGACGCTGCCCCCTATAAAGGGTGTGGCGGGCTGCGGCCCTATCATCCACCTGTGGGGTTCCTAGGGCTTTCCCCCACGAACTTCACTCTGAGCTGGCGGCTGCAGCGCACGAGTAGTTCCGTTCCTAGCCTGCGCGCCACCAGCAGCCGCCCTCCCAACAGGGCACATCCGCCACTTGCTGGGGGAGGGACTTTTCCATTCCTTCCAGCCTTTCCATTTATACAGAACACTGTCAGTTGGTTGTATCTGGGGGGAGGAGGACTGACAAAGCCCACCTCCCCTGAGCCTCTCATAAACCACAGGGGGCTTAGGGGCAGGAGTTGGTACAGGGCCAGGGCGTGTCCACACGCCGGTGGGCCATGACCCTGAATCTCTGGGGCTTCCTGCTGCTCCGAGATCCCCCTCAATTTAGCCTAGAACCGCAAGGTACTTGGTTTCCATGGGAGGCCACGAGGAGGCACTGCAGAATTCTTGGTGATGGAGAGGCTGTGCACTGGAAGGGGGAGGCTTATGCAGGGCTGCCCCCTTTTTCGCGCTAGGTTAGTCATGCAAGCACTTAACACTAACTAGACTACCTCACCATCGCTTTGCATCATCCTGTTTCGTGAAGCACCCACCCACAATGTATGTATGTATGTGTGTGTGTATATATATATATATATATATATATATATATTATATATAATATATATATATATATATATATATATATATATATAATTGTAGACAGAGATAGATAGATTTGTATACATGTATGTATATATATAATATATATATATATAGTATATATATATATATATATATATATATATATATATATATATATATATATATATATATTATATATACATACGTATATATAAATACCATACATATATACATACATACATATATATATATATATATATATATATATATATATATATATATATATACATATTACATACATACATACATACATATATATATATATATATATATATATAATATATATAATATTTATAATATAAATTATAAATTAATAATAATAATTTATATTTTATAAGTATATATATATAATTAATAATTATATTATTATATTATATATATATTATAAATATATATTATATAAGTATTATAAATATATATTATATAATATATATTAATTTAAAAAAAAATAATATTATATAATAAATATATTTAATATAATATAATATAATAATATAAAATTTAATTTAATATATTTTAAAATATTTTAATAATATAATATAATTATATAAAATAATAATATTTTTATAATAAAATTATAATTTTTATATAATATAAAAAATTAAGAATATTTAATAAATTTTTTTTATATAATTAATTAAATAATATATAATATTTATAAATTAAAATAACATAATAAATATAATTAAAATAAATTAAAATTTAAAAATTTATTAATAAATATTATAATTCATTATGATAATAAAATAAATAATTAAGATATATATATATAATTATATTTTATATTAATAATTTATATATTAAATAATATAATAATAATATATATTTAAATTATTATATTTATAATATATTTAAATAAATTAATAATTAAATTAATATATAAAATTATATAAAAAAAAATTAAATTTATATATAAATTTAGTAATTATATATAATATATATTAATAAATAAAAATAAATAGTAGATAATTTAAAATTTATATTTATAATTTTATATATAAATAATAATAAATAATAATAATAAAATATTAAATAATTATATATTATTTATTTATAATATATTGTTATATTAATAATATTTATATAAATTATTTAATAAGTATATTAATTATATTTATAATATTAATTTTTTTAAAATTATATTATATTATATAAAATAAATAAATATATTATTATATATATAATATTTAAATATATTATATTTTAATAATAATTTATATTATATATATTTAAATTTATATATTAAATATATTAAATAATTATATATTAAATTATATTATATTATATTTTTCAATAATATAATATAATTAATATAAATAATAATATATTAATATTTAAAAATTTATTAATTATTAAATTATATTAAATAATTAATATATAATAAAATATATATATAATTTAAATTATGCATTATTTAAATTAAATATTAATATAAAAATAAAAATAATAAAATAA